AATACACCAAACTTCTGACCTAGTATACTCTCGCTTCGTAAGACCAAATCCGCGATCAACTGAATTTCTAGTATGACTTACAGTAGTTTTACAAGTGATACAAACCATTTTATTATTTGATTCATAAAAATCATTTTTATAGTCATTGAAATTTACATGGTTTAAAGCTATAAACTTGGTTTTTTCCATCATTAAAATTAAAGCAAAAATTATAATAGTTCGCTTCGCATTGCGCAATACAATTAATTATAAATAAAATGTGAATTTTGATAATATTGAGTCACTTTTGTAAGTACCATATTTATTTTTAAATGATTTCTGAAACAAGTGCAACTTGAAAAGAACAAAATTGGTATCATACGCGTAACCAATGAAGTCATTATTTGTTTTACTGGATCAGACAGATGCACAGATGAACCATCACGTATAAATCGAACAAGAAAATAAATCACTAAAAAAGCAAAGGAGCATGTAACATTAATAATTAATTTTTTTTAGTTAACTCTTATGAAAATCAATAGAGATACTTAGATACGAGTTTTATAAGAGATCGCAGGTAGTTTAATTCATAATTTAAGAAAACGAAGGTATTTCAACGTTAAAATAAAGAAAGAACTGCATGTAATTCTATATAAAAATTCTATATAAATCTACATTGGGTTTGTGAAATTAAGTATAATTTGAATAAAGGTTTTATAAAAATTCACATAGCTTTATATAAAAATGATTTGGTGATGTGACTGAAAATTTTGCAATACTGTAATTGGCAAAGAAAAATAATTTAAAGTGTTTTATGGCTCAAAATATCTAATATCGAAGCCGTCAGTAGGTGTTTTATTAAAAAAAGATGCACAATTCTTGAAATAATGCTTTATACTCATTATCGTTTACTCTAGTCGCTGCTTCAATTAAACTTCTATTCTTTAAATGATTAATGATTAAATATCTATCATTTGTGGGGAAAGGAAACAGAGTACATAGTTTTGCCTCGTAATGTGAGATTTCATATTTGTTAGGAAAATTTAGCAAAAAACTAGTATTTCCGATAGAACGCCAAATCATGTTATTCGTAAGGTCTTGACACATGACTCCCTGAGGAACGGGAATAACATTCAAAGCTTCAACTGCTTTAAAAGAGACGAATACTTGACATACTTGATTTGGTTCGAGATTGTCGAGATTGTCGAGATTGTAAACTCTCTGGCTGTGGGTTTGAACCAATTGTCGATTGTTGTTCAATGTACGCTGTTCATAATGGATTGATTGACTTTGTGGTTGATTGTTTCTTGACATTTGTTGTTGATTTTGATTTGCTACTGAATTTTAATTATAAAATCTTCATAGGGTCCAAAATTTAAAATCTTTGGCGTGGAACTGGAAAGGCGCAAAATTTCCCAAGACATACTTAAAAGAAAAGATTAAAATCATGAAAACTTTCTAAAAGTATAAATAACATGGAATTAGGATTAGTACAATAATTTAAATTTTTTAGATGGTTGAAGTTGAGAATTATACCTTCTTTAATATAAAATTTTGGGAAGGGCTAGTTTTTTTTGTTTGAGTTTACAATAAAAAAAATATAAGTGGATTTCAGTGAGGTTTGTACATTTATATATAGAACCCTCAGTCACGATAATTTACAAAATAGACAAGCAAAAACTTTAAAGTCCCGAATTTATTACTATTTGAGTTATTTTTACCCAAAGATATGCACTTGTTCCAAATTAATTTCAGCCCAATTGGCCTACCGCTACCAACTACCCCAGTGGCACCGACAGATTTTCACTGATCGACATCGATTGACCAATTAGATTACAGGATCAGGTAGATCATGTGTAACGTGAAAATCATGCGTTTTTTAAACAAACCGCCCGTAACTCTAATTTTCGTCTATGTAACCAGCTTCTACGCACTAGTAAAAAAAATTTCTTACGAAATTTTGGTATAGGTAGTCAGCGTCACATATATGCCACTAATTTTATTTTACTCAATTGCTTAAAAATTTAATCGTGTTAAGCCTTCTACATTGAGGCGGTTCCAAACTTTAATATGATATTATCCAGGCAGGGTTGTAAAAACTTACCTGACAACGTAACTTACATTGTAAGTTACATCGTAAGTTTCATAATCTCATGTAAGTTACAAAATCTATACTTCTAAGGCAGGCCGGCATTAAGGATAATTTTGTCCAGCACTAATATTGTAATAAAATAGTTAAAATAGTAAGCTACGTAGTTTCACTTAACCTAAAAAATTAGGGTTTACAATGGGTCGGATCCGTTATATCATGAGCCAAAATAACACAATTCATTAAAAAGTTAGCACATCTTAATCTCAGTTCGTTCTCTGACGGCATCTTGATGCCGTCTGAGAATAAAACGAGTTCGAAATTATATGATTAAAACAAATATGAGACGTATGTAGAAAATACCGTATCATCTCGAAATAATTCCCCAAGGTGTAATTTAATATTTTGGGCTACATTAAGCTTAACTTAGGCCAATTTAAACTTAATATAGGCCAAAATATTAGACTACATCCTGGGGCGTTATTTCGAGATGATATATAGTGATAGATCAGCCCGTCGTCTTTCAACCTAAAATTGGTCTTACAATAACGATAACGATAAGAATGCTTAATTAAATTGATAACAAAAATTCTTATCGTTATATTTTATAATTTCTATGTAATTAGAGTTAGTTGCATTAGAATTATGACTGTAAAAATTCTGTTACCAAATTTCTCATACCTCACATATTGGGGTATCTATATTATTAATTTTACAGTACTCCCAATAGTGAAGCGTAAGAAAATTAGTAATAGTAAACATGCAGAGTGCACTCACAGAGGTTTCATTAATATTTTTTCTTGTTAGCAATTACATCAAATGATATAATTCATGTAACATGTCATACAACATGCAAAAATCTTATTCTTTCAATTGTAGTAATCACATTTTTTGTAGATTAGGTGTGTAACATCGACGGTTCCTCCTGTGATCCAGGTTTATTTTTCCTAAATGAGATACAATAACAACCAGACACACATTTGAACTTTTGAAGATCTCACCAAATTTCTATTGAGTTTTATATCAAATATTATTTGAGTGCTGGTAGAGATGAACTATAACTATTAGTTATAATAAACTAAATAACTGATAGTTTATTTAAAAGAGAAAATATAACTGAAAAT